TGCCTCATAATCCAAAACCAAGGACAATGATCTTACCATCCATAACATTAAACAAGTGCTGCGAGTGTCTAACATCGCCATAAAAGTAACGAGCAGCAGTTGCATTGCAAAATGAGATATTTATGTGGGAAATGTGAAATATTTTACAATGAGCATTTTACTGATAGATGCTTTTTCAGTATCCAGGTGGTAATTCATGCTTTCCGAAGCATATATGTTGTTGCACAGTGGTATAAATGGGCTGACAAAGATGTTCCACTAAAAGAAAGAAAGACATACCTTACACAGTCTCATCCTTGAGTTCAAAGCTTTCTTGGTCTATTTATGAAGAAAATAATCTTGTTAGTAACTCTTTAAGTGTCTTTAAATGAAAGTTAATCATCCCCCTTTTTTAATCTGTGTTCTCACAAAAGGAGTAAAGAAGCCTCCATGTGAGCCTCACAAAGAAGGACTTAAAGGGGAACTGATCTTCTGATGTATGCTGATGTTAGACATGGCAAAGTGTCACAGTATGTGGAAGAAATGTCCATGAGCTAAAAGCTTCAGACTGCTCTAAACAGTAGTGTCGGTTGGAGTTTTTTCTACTCTTGATTCTGTATAATGTCAGTGAGAGTGGATATCCAGCTCTGGCTGTCAGCAGAGCAGCCCCACCTGACCTGGTTTAAAAACCTTTTGTTTGTGCGGGGTAGCCAATCAGGGAGGGAGGCCCTTTTTGTCCCCCAGATAGAGGAACTGAGTCACACTAAGGTCCAATATGATGAATAAGTATTATTCTGAACTGTGACTCATGCAAAGCAACTCTAAGAGTTCAAGAATAAAATATGGAGCTGGGAATAAGTATAAGATTTGTCTTTTGGGCTGTTAACGTGTTTATGTGAGTTCAACTGATCTCAACAACTCATCAGCATCCTGTTGAAACAAAGCCTACACAGCAGTGGGAGCAAGCAGAGCTGCTAGCACTGACAGTTCTAATTGGGTTGCCTTGGCAATATCCGAACTTTCACATCCCATCAGGTGAAAGGACGGAGGAGACCGTTAACTCTGGATGACTTCTGCTTCCCTGTAAGAGCAATCAGACTGTCCTTTCATCTACCATAAGAAGAAGATGCCAGATGAAAATAACACACACTTGGTGATAAGAGTAAAGGTTCCACATTGGCTACCAGGAACATCACAGGAACACCGGAGTAACTAGTTTACAATATACTGGCTCACATGTTGCTTAAGAACATAATTGTTTGAAAATGGAATCTTTATATAACTTTTTGACCATTTTTTTATTAATTAAATATTCATTTGCCTATCTGAGTTTGTGTTCTGCTATTTATTTAGGTTTTTCAGGATTTTTCGTGTCCACAGTGAGGCCACAATCTAGGAATTTTCTCCTTTTCAGGGGTCATGAGCTAAAAACCTCAGCCGACTCTAAACGAACCATCTTCAAACCTCAGTGAGGAAACAAACTAAAAGTACACATAGATAAAAACAGGGTCTCAACTGTCTCTCAGTCATTTTTGAGTTCATGTCCTGTAATATTGACCTAATCTGTCTGCAGTGCCACTCACATGGAGGCTGTTCGATCATTTTCACATGAGAGGATATTAGCTCTTTGCAGCCACGGCAGTAACATCTGCGCAGATGCACTCCTGTCTTTTTAAACGACTCCTGGCTCACTACAAAAGTGTCTAATATACTCTGGAAAGACTGAGCTCAACAAGACTCCAAGGATGGTTTACCGTGTCCTAATTTGATTAGAGTGCTGCAAAGAATGTGAAAGCAACCTCTGGGAAAATGAAACACAAAGTAGCTTTAAGAGCCCAGATATCTCTCACAGTGGTGAACCACGTGAACCAAGCTATTTTAGCATGTTAGTTCCTCTGATAGGTTTGACAGGATGTCACATTTAAGTACAAGTTAAAAACATCAGAAAGCCGTGGTTCCAGTTTTACTGTATACTTGACATGTCAACGCAACCTGCAGTCATTTTGCATTTCAGTTGAAGTAAATGAAATGTGAAGGACATGAGGTGTAGGTATTTGTTAGAAGTCCCCCAGTATTCTTAATTTTTGCGGGTGAAGTAAAAATCTATTTATGCGACGCCTTTCTTTTTAGTGCTCAGATTGCAACCTATATATAAGACACTCTGATGAATATTTGCCTTGCAGCAACATCTGAGTTTTTTCAGGAATAATGAACTGCACAAATAAATGAATATGTTCAAAACAGTTTGGAGTAATTGTTTGTTATGCACAGGCTTCAAGAGAAAACTGCACAATGAAGACTACTAAAATTCTAACTACTTACGCTTATCACTGCCATCAGTGAGGAACAATGTGCAGTCTTTCTGCCGATGTAAAGCTGTATCATCCCACTGGGGCTTTTAAAAACTCAATAACCATGTTCCATCGTGTTCTTAAGAGCTTCAGTGGAAACGGTTTACTGTCTGGAACACTGCAAAACTGAAAAGTGGGTTTATATGCAAAAACCAATGTAGCTTTTTGCATGATGGTCCTTTTGCCACCTGCTATTTGTTTGGAGTGCTAGTTAAATAGGAAAGTGGACAGATGGTCTAAAAAACACTGTAAACACTCGTTGTAGTTTGAGGAGGAGGGATTCTTCATTCTGTGAGAAGTTTTTCATCCAAACTTTCCTCCAGTTTGTTCACTGGGCCAAATCTTCACCTTACGACCTGTTGCTTCTGGCTGAATACAGTGCATATCTCACTTCTGCAAGCAGGAACACAGGCAGGACGTTAGGGTCACCTGAACAAATATTGCTTAAGGCGCTTTTTGTTAATTATTAGTTCTGATCTACTTCTGGCTCCCTCTCCGGCTCCTGGAATCATCTCAGATTGTGGCTCTGTGTTTTTTCAGAGTTGATTAATGCAGGCATTTTACCTTCTGATAGTCTAAACCAGGAGAGAGCAGATTATCCAAGCAGCTTAGGTTACTATGGTGACACCTCTAATAAAGGTGAGCCCAGATGAAATGCAAAGCTACCTCATAACAACCGGTAAATCATGCACATTTCCACTAAAGAGCACAGATTTCAGCTTGTGCCTTTAAAACCGTGTGGTCAAATCAAAGTTGGAACTTCATGTTGTACTGAATGCCACTTTAAACCAGCAATTTGACCTATAAACCCATCAGGGAACTGTTTTCCAAAATCACAAATCAAGTAGGCAGTACATTTGTTTTCCCCTTAGACCTCTATATAGCTGGGTTTGTTTTTACAGTCAGACCATAGACCATCAGTGTAAAAGATGAACATAGCATCCAGGTCTGAAAAATGAAGCCAATGCAAAAGTGCCAAAAACCTTCATCAATTTTAGTCAACAGGGATGTTTCATCAGTTTTTTTGTTTGTTTTTAAAAAAAAAAAAAAAACTTCTGTTCCTGTAGGAAAACTGTGTCCGGCTGAGCCCTCCTGCAATTGAGTCACTCATTTTGAGACATACAAAATAGAACTTTGAGTCCAATAATGGGTTGCAAGATATGTATTTTTACTGGCCAAAACACAACCTGGTCACTGGTGGTGTGACAGTGATATGGGACAAAAAGGCCTGGCTTACAGTCTCTGGTCTAATTCATCCCAAAGGTGTTCTGTGGGGTTGAGGTCAGGACTCTGTGCAGGCCAGTCAAGTTCTTCCATATCAAATTCACTCATCCATGTCTTTATGAACATTGCTTTGTGCACTGGGGTACAGTTATGCTGGAACAGGAACCCCACACCAACAGGATCCCCCCTCCACCAAACTTTACACTTGGCAGAATGCCATCAGACAAATATCGTTCTCATGGCAACTGTCAAACTCAGACTCGTCCATCAGATTGCCAGAAGGAGAAGCATGATTCATCACTCCAGAGAACACGTCTCCACCGCTCTAGAGTCCAGTAGCAATGTGCTTTATACCACTGCACTGGCTTTGCGTCACGCTTGGTAACGTAAGGCTTGGATGCAGCGGCTCAGCCATGGAAACACATTCCATGAAGCTCTCTACACACTGTTGTTGAGCTAATCTGAAAGCCACATGGATTTTGGAGGCCTGTAGTAAATGATTCTGCAGAAGGTTGGTGACCTCTGCCCACTATGCACCTTAGCATCCACTGACCCCAGTCTCGAATTTTACATTAACTACCACTTGTGGCTGAGTTGCTGTCGTTTCCAATCGCTTCGCCTTTGTTGTAATACCACTTACTGTAGTAGCAAGTGTGTAGTTAAAACAGCACTTGTTGCACAGGTGGTATCCTGTTATATTTTTGTCATGCAGCACTGATAAAAATAATCAACTTCATTTTAAACATATATTTCCACTCTGTGTGCTAGATCGCTAGATTGATGTGGCTTTAGTTTCCTGTATTTTTTGCAGCACTGTTGCATTCCCCTTTTTATGTGATCACAGCGTCACAGCCTGAAACCGAAAGCCTAACTTAAGAAAGTTAAGAACCACAGATTTCGTCAAACCAGCTAAGGTAAAGAAAGCCTGGCTGTTTACAACTTCCTTTATCTTATACCTCTGGTGATTCTGAGAACAAGAAGAGAGGATTAGCCAGAATATGCTCATTGGTTAATGACTTGTAATTGACAAGTGATTAGCCAGTAAGTGTGCAGTTTCATACTCAGACCTGTCCCTCGCTCTTAACATCAACCTTCAGAACACAAAAGGTGTTGAGGACAAAACTCTTCTCCAATGCTTCACAGCAGGACCTCATTAACCAGTGAGGTCCTGCTGGGGTATGTGCATCCATGTTTGATTTTTAATACTGTCTATGATCCAGAGTAATCACCCCCTGCTAGACATTTTTTTAAAAATACAAGTTTCAGGCACTTCTACATGGACTTTACTTTTGAGACCCAGCATCTACATCCATCTTTTATGGACAGGCAACCGACAATTAAGAAAATGTATCATATGCAATGATGCACTGAATCCATATTGTGTTTCTCTTACTCCAATAATCAAACATAAGAGCACAGACAACAAGACTCATTTCAAAAAGAGACAACGATTCATGGTTTACTTAAACTTCGGGTACAGATAACAAAGACAAGCTCCACAACATTTTCTTCAGATGTGCTGGAGTGAGGATTACCCTTAAGGGCAGAATGAACACTGCTTGTATTCAGCGAGCAGCTCTCACACTGCTGTCTGGGTGAAATGAGATGAAGTTGAACCACACGAGTAACAAGACACACTATAAATAGAGGGAAAAAAATCTGCTCTACTTACAGAGTCATGACAGTTTAAGTCAGATGTGTAAAGCTTTTTATAAAACTATACATTCTGTGATTGGAGAGGCTTTTGGGAGGGGATGCAAATCAGGCTATTCAATTTATCTTAGATAGCTGAATTTATATTTGCTAAGGCCATATGGCAACAGAGGATGTTGAAGATTGTGGCGTTAAGGCAGTAGCATCGATGAACTAATAAAAAAAAAAATGATGGACCAAAAATCCACAGCTGGACTGACAATATTCAGGTAGGAATTATGACATCTGTGCTTTAACAGAAAACAAAGATATGGATGTTTGCTACAGGCTGGAGGAGAACAGTGTAACCGATTGTGTTCGGTAAAGGCTACTCTACACTTAAGTTGCAAAGCAATTAGCCTATTTTGAAGAGCACAAATAAGCGGATATCATTCAGCTCCCGGCTCGCTTTTGATCTCCTCCATCCTGCTGTAATGAGCGGCCAGCTCCCGAAGCACGGCTGTCCTGCCCAGGTGATCGTTCCTCCTCTTCTCCATGATCATGTCCTCCAAACTCTGAAACTCCAGCACGTGCGGCTGTTTGCCCGTCATGAATATTTTCAACCTGTAGGGCTGCTTGCCTATGCGTATCTCCCCACCCATTTTGAACTCCCTCTTGCCGAACCTGCACCAGGCTGCAAAACACTCAGAGTTTCTCCAGCTCAGCTCCCGGTCCTTTAATCCCACCTGCTCCATCGCGTTCTGCACCACCATGTCCTGACCCAGAGCTTTGAATTTGTACAGCTCGTTAACAATCCGACACCTCCTCCCTTGACTCGCATCGGTCAGAAAGCTGTTCTTTACCTCGGCTCTGTGCAGGTGCACCACCTGGAAGTCTCCCACATACACCGCCCAGTGCGGGTACTGACCCGTAGCCACAAACTCCACCAGATCACCTGGTTTGCATTTGTTTAGCAGATTCTCTGGGGAGTAAACTTCCAGGTTCACCGACTTTGCGCTCTTCTCGTAAATGCATTCGTCTCTGTTGTAGACGGCGCATTCCACCTCTTCGCGCTGGTCGTACTGTTTCTCTTCCTGATTCGGGTCTTTATCGGAGCCGTCTACCGCGCAGCCGTCCTCCAGCTCGTCGTCGTCGTTGGAAAATATGTAAGAGACGCCGATCCGCGGACCGTCCTCGGCGTCCACGCCGTTGGGGTCCACTGTGGGAACTTCTGCGTAACTTAAATGCGACAGCCTGTCCATCTGGTTCCCCATGCCGCTGCTCACCTGGTAGCAGCTTGTGTAATGTGATCTGATGCCGAAGGCTGTTACCGGTCGCCAAACATCCCAACCATCTGCCACAAAAAGGCTAAAAAACTTCCTTCTCCCTGCCCTCAGACAGGGTTTTGTCCAAATTACGCATAAGAGTAACTCCGTTTACCGAATGCACCGATAACCACTCGGTGCCCCATCAACAAGTGGAGTTGGGAGGAAAAGACAAACTGCTTACAGATTCGGCGAGGACAAATATCCCTCAGGTGTAGCCTCACCTCCTGTTTCCCTGCGTAAAGTTACGTCCGCCCTCTGTCGCAAAAGAAACGATGAAAGCAAAATCCTCCACAGACACAACGACAGAGCGACGTGTTTGCCTACATACGTAGATATAAGCAGCTCAGGAACTGAGCAGCGTGCCACACCGGGTGACTCGGCATCAGCAGGGACTCTCTCCAGCTACACGCAGCGCCGCTTTTAAAGCGGAAGTGCGCGTAATTTTCACCACCGCATCTTTAATATCCGCTCCTGCTCTCTAATGAGTCGTTTTGTTTACTCGGATTCTCAGTTCATGCTCAGACTGACTCATTAAACTGTAAAAACAAAATACACAAACATTTTATTCTGTTAGTTGTTTGCAGTCAGATGGATCTACTTTGAGTCTGTTGGTTATTTTAATTGTAAATATAGTTTTGGAACTGAGGATATATGTATATTTGTGAGAACAAACAGACTAATTTTATGATTACTTTTTAGTGCTCTGGTAATTACTGCAGGCACACTGTCATGGTCTTAACATGTATGTAAGTGTTTGTGATGTTCTTTGATTTGTGGTGTGTATTGGAATGAAAGCAAATCAGTTAGTCAATCAAACTCGATCCTGGAATGATGAATCTATAGATAAGTGACTGATGCCTTGGTACAAATTACCACTGTCCTAGAAGGGGACAGTGGAGTGGGGTGTGGGGGCGGGGTTCTAACATCTGGAGATATTTTTACAGTTTTGACCACCTCTCTGTCCTTGAATGAGCTGAAGCTGCCAAGTACTTTGCCTGCAATCTCCTGGAGGGACCATAATATTTCCATTATGTTTGTACTGGCTCGTAGAATGCCTGGAGGTGCTCGGTTATGGACTATTTTCTCACCACTGTATCCCTCCGTCGAAGGGAATATGCTCCCCGAAATGGCACACACTGCTACTGCTGCTGCAGCAACCTCTGTGTGACAACACCTGTATGTGAAACGGCTTGAGGAACAGGACAGGTGCTGAGGGCTGCGAGCAAACTTGCAGTTTAAAGGAAACAAATGTTACATTATGAAGACGAGAGAGAGAGAGAGAGAAAAACTTTGCAGGGTGAATGACCCTGAGTGTGACCTCAGTATAGTTTCAGTGTCATTCTGTCCTTGGTGACTACAAATGCAGAGTCACCTATTACAGATTTCTGCAGTTTAAGCAGGTAGAAAGGTCTCATTTAAGGACTCAACAGATTAGCAAGGAGACCTTTGGGCAACACTCCTCCAGACTATCAGGTTAATTAAGAGACTGACCTGTCATAGAGCTGCAGAGGATCACATTAAGTTATTTCCCCGTAACCCCCGAGTAATCCAGGATGAATGTTTTTCCAGGTTAGTAAGACTGTGGCAGGGTCACAAAGTGCATCTGTAATGCTGATTTCCAGGTCACAACAGTGCCACTGACCGTTAGCACTCCAGATATGGATACAGCACTGTATGTAACTGTAATTCCACTTTTAGAGTTACACAAGCACATTTTTTCCTAGTTGAACGAATGTAATTAATCTAATCAGGCACAAGAGTTTGTAGACTTGTGACGTTTGTGGCCCCCAGATGCTCCCGATGCTCTACTGGAGTATGAGGGTGTGCATGTGTGTCATTGTTTGACCCAATACTGATGCAGCTTGATTCAAAGATCATCTCCTTCTGATTTCTCTTGAAATGACATAAAAATGACAAAGCAGCAGACTGCTGCGTGTATGAGGTTGGTGTAATTTCACCATTCACAAGCGTTTCATCCACTTCCGCTCAAGTTTGTGCTCATTGTGTGAATAAGCACAATTTTTTTCTGGGCTTTTGTGTGCGGCTGTGTGTGCGCGTGTTTTACTTTCCTCTTATTTCACTCTGATGCCCTGCAGCAGCCTCAGTCTGACACTGCATATGATAGGAGTCAAAAAATAACATGCAGAATGAATTCAGCAGATGTATTACACCTTTAGAGGATGAGGTTTTATATCAACGCAGGCTGAAGGTGTTGGGAAAGAAATAGACTGTTAGAGTGGTGACATGCAGCCTATTTGACCGCTTCTTGGTGCTTCTTATCCTCCGGTGGCGTGACCCAGTTTACGCCCCCGGTGCCCCCTGGTAACACTCTGTAATTTGTGGTGCTGGGAAATTACTGGAGCAGGGAGGCCTGGGAGACACACTCAATTAGACAGGGCTCCACCTGTCCGATGGGGACACAGCCAGCCTCAGACTGACACCTTAATCTCCCCCCCCACCCCCCACCCCAAAATTGCAGGCTTTTCATAGCTTTTTCAAAGGCTGCACAAGCAGGTATTCAACAATGCGTTTTTCAGCTCAGTGTCCGTTAAAATCTATGAGGATAGTTGAATATGTGTATACTTGAGGCAGATGGACAGAGCATCCGGACCGCTGCGTCTTGCACACCATCTGTTCCACCTGGCTTGGAAAACATCTAATGGCCTACTATGGTGTAATGTGATTGGCCACAAGTCAGAGGCTGTGGGCGGTGGAATCAGTGATTCAAAACCTTCAAAAGTGTACGAGAAATAAAATACACCACTGCAGGATATTTTAATGGAGAGGGGGGAGGAGAGAGTTTGATCTTATTACATATTTATTTATATTTTCATATACTTTTTACATATTTATCTGTAATAGTATGTAACCGGAGACGAGGCAAGATGGAGAAAAGGATAAAGGAAGGGCATGGTGAAGGAATGTCACTTTCTTCTTCTTTTTTTCTAACCAATGTAATTACAAGATCATGTTTAAATCTGTCAAATATCCACAGTCCCATTAAACAAGCTACAACAAAGAGTTCCTAAAATACCTGCTGACATATAAAACTAGCATTTTAAACACTGCGGTGGATGTATATCTAGGGGAGGAAGGGGGTAGGGGGTGTATCTGGGACGACTGAGTAACTGCAAGTAGATAACAAACAGGCAGGACTGGGAGGAGACTCTTACTGTGAAAGGTAGGCATGTATTAAAACACACCCGTGACGTGTACAATACTCACGCAACATACTCACAATGGTTTCTACAGTCATCATGCTTCAAAAGGTCCTTGTGACAGTCGTTTTTTCCCCTATTTTAGCATCACGGTATCAGAAACTACCACAAGTGGGTCAAAAACAGAATGTAGATTCGTTTAAAAAAAATGGAGAGAGAGCTCAACAAACTGGGTTTCCATTTTAAACGCAATAAAAAAAAAAAAGAAGTACTCTATATTCTCAGAGCAACACTGAAAAAATTCACGATAGGCTTCAGACACTTTTTGGGCCATCACATCTCTGAGATGCTGGGCAAAGCATTAGCATTTCCATCCCTTGGGTCTGCAACAGCCTTCACAACAAAGTTGCCTTCTCTCTAGACTACAAACCCCCTTATTTTTTTTCAAAACATGGTGTAAACAGAATCCCCTGGAGAGTGAGCAAGGCTGGCCAAGAGTGCACTGCACAAAAGCTGATCCACAGAGAGGCAGAGAGAGATAGCTGGCAAGCGACAGTGGCAACAGCCCTGGGTCGAACACACAGAGCTAACTGTTCCCATTCTTTTCAGTTTGGTTCAGTTTGATTCATTTTGTCAAATTCTTGATAATGGCTGGCAGGTTTTTTTGATCTGACGTTGGTAATTTTTATTAGTTAGACACACTACATCAAATGCATATTAACAATTAAAAAAAAAAAAAGAAACTTGTGAGATTTTAAAAAAAAACAACCTCCCAAAAAAGGAAATAAAACAAATCAGGAGATATGATCCCAGACCTGGTAGTTTTTGATTGGCTGAAAATAATAAGGCAACACCAAAATAAAAGAACAGAGAAAGGAGTAAAAAGAAAATAAATCATTATAAAGAAATAAGGTCTTTGGTGTTCTCTAATGGATTTAAAAAAAAAAAAAAAAACGCAGTTTCTCAGATGCCTGGTATGACACTTTCCTTTTGGTGAGCTCTAAAATCACGTGCACACAACAAATGAGCCAACATTAAAAAAAAAAAATAATTACATGATGTTACTTCGTCCACAGGTTTGAAGAAATCCTGCACAGTGCAAATAATAAATGCCCCAAATATTGATTACAAGTAAAGAGGAAAGATTTTTTTTGTGCAATAGTATCATGCATTAGATCACTTAACATGAGACAATACAGGGAGGCAGCGGGGTCTTATCAACCTGGTTAAAGTCCAAAGAATTGGTCCTAGAATATGCATATTGTCAAATGATTCCTGAAGAAGTCTGTTCAACACTTTAATGTTTATTTTATAGGTCTTTTTTTTTTTTTTTTTTTAGAACATCTATGCAATATTAACCATTTTACACTCTGCTCTCAAGGGTCACAAAACATCCATCGACTGAAGGGGTGGGGGTGGGGTGGAGTCAGTGGGAAAACAGCGCATTTGTTTCCAGTTAGATGGTCTTCCAGGTTAAATGATGTTTACCTGCATCGCTGTGATATAGTGTGATAATAGCACCACTCCAACAGATAACACTGCCTTGCTACGAATACGAGGAATCACAGAGGGGAGGGAAGGAGGACAGCAAAGAGGGTTGGTACTAGTGTCGATGATTCCTCATACAGTAGGTGAATGACAAAGTGCTGACGGGGCCAATTATCCTATGACTGGATACTGATGGACAAGAAGGCGGGGCTTACGAATAAGGGAGTTTCCTTGTGACTGGATTTAAAGATGCAGGGCTGGAACCACGAACAGGAATTTCCACAGTGAGACGTGACGCTGCGAAAAGACATTAGCCCCCTTTGTTGGGACGCTGTTTCCTCGTTCCTAAATCTGGAAGTTTTGCTGATGCTTTATGTCAGTTGGTCTTTCTGCAGGGCTGAGATGTCTAGAGGAGGAGGGGCGCGCCCGCTCCATTCCTTCAGCTGCCCGTCCTTGAAGAGGAGGTTGAGGGCGGGCAGGGGGACACCGGACTCTGGCGGGGGCTGGCTGAGAGGGTTGGACACGCCGCTGTCCAGGTCAGAGGGCTGGCTGCCATCCTGCCAACACGGGGTCAAAGGTGACAGATCAGAACAACAGGCAGCAATGTGAAGGGCAGGGATATATTTTTATAGGAGGAAAAAAGCCAGCAGAAGGGTTCCAGTGAATACTGCTGCCACATCCTTTCGCTTAATCATGTTACCTTCGTGCTGCAACACCCTGATTCAGCTC